ATACACTAAAAATAAAAAAATACAAACACAACGAAATGAAGGGAAGCAGAGAGAAGAATAAAATCTTATAATATCTGCCCCCTTTTCACTCAAATATAAATTTAAACAACAATAATCCTCAGTTAACAAAACAAAACAAGAACATCAAATCATATTTTTACACGTTATACAGTTTCATATTTTTTCAATAATCTAACCTTTATCATTCTCTTGAACATGTACTTTGATTTAACACATTTCACATCATTTTCCAGATTATTCCACAATCTGACTCCTTGGATTGAGCTGCAGCGTTCTTTAAACATGTTTTAAATTTAGGTTTCATGAACATCTCTGTCCTCTCATGATTATAACAGCTCTCTGTCTTTGCAAAGTTTATCTGGATGTTTACAGGTAATGTGTTAAAGTGAGCCTTATACATAACTAACAAAATATTGTAATCAACCAAATCATAAAATTTCAAAAATTTCAGTTTACAGAATAATTTATTAGATGTTTATGATAACTCTTATAGCTCTTTACTGTAAAACAAAAACAGGATGTGTAATTGTCTTACATGCTTTACCTCAGCACAATAAACAAAATGTGGATCAATTAATGTGTTATATAACAAATACAGAGTTTTATCATTAAACAAGTCCCTTACTTTATAAAACAATGCAATAGATTTAGTTAGTTTTATTATTAAATAATTAACATGAGGTCTCCATGTCCGTTTCTCATAATAATAACGCCCAAAAACTTCACCTCACTGACTCTACTAATCTCCACACCAACTCTAAATGGAGTATTAACAGTTGTTTTTGCTCATTGTAAATATCATATAATTAGTTTTTATCCAAATTGAGCGATAATTTGTGAAGTTTAAACCTGTTTTGTATTTTCACAAATTCTGTTTGCATTTTCTCTGATTTCTGTCTTTACCCGAACAAAAAAATGTAGTGTTATCTGCAAATAAAACACCTTTAAAGAGCCCTGACACATTAACCAAGTCATTCACACACAAGATGAATAACTTTGGTCCAAGTATAGAACCCTGAGGAACTCCACACGTAATTCTACTGTGTTCAGATTGTACATCATGTACTCGCACAAACTGTTTCCTATTTCCCAAATAACTAGATATCCATTGTAATGCTGGTCCTCTAATCCCATATTTATTTAACTTTTCCGGTAGAATGCTGTGGTCAATCATGTCGAATGCTTTCTACAAATAATCATTGATACTGGCACAATATTGTTTTTGATCAATAACATTTGTTATTTGTTCTGTCAGTTCCATATTAGCCATTAAAGTAGAGTTATTGGCTCTAAATCCATACTGA